CAGCAGGGTCTCCCACAAGGTATTCCTCTGCGTGTCCCCCTGTTTCCACCCTAGAAGCCTCCCAATAGGGGTTCTCCTCACCCCTGGAATGAGGCTGTGGCGACTGGGGCGGGGACAGCAATTGATGGCGGCTCCATCTTCTGTGCGTGTATGGGGAGGTGTCCCGAGTCCCCAACGGGCTCCTGAGAGCCAGCCCCCAAACTCTCCTGTCCATCTAAAGCGGGAAGGTGTTGACAGAGAAGACCTTGGGGGGCTGTACCGCCTGTGCTTTCCCCCCACGTCGTGTAGCACATGCTTATTTATATTTCCAGTAGGCGAGAAACTCCCTAATTCGCGAATGAATTTAGGCTTATATCCGAAACGGGAGTGTAATTTGAAGCCAAGTGGACGTCTCATGCATATCTGATCCCGTTGGAGGGCAGAGGAGGGCAGAGAACCCGTTGCGCGGGCGGACTGCAGAAGTCAGATCTCTAAATATTGCTTATCAGCTATGCTTGCGTAGAATTAATTAAAGAAGGAGAAGGAGAAGGAGAAGACCATTCGGATGCCCTTTGGGACTAGCCTTCAGTCTCCAGAAAGCTTTTAGTGCTTTGTCTGCCGAGATGGTTAAGTATCTATAGGAGGTGCTATTCATGTTGGTGACAACGACAAGGGGATATAACAGGAGCAGAAGCTTACAGACTCTCATATGTAGATAAGGTGATAACAGGTAACATTTTCACTCTCTTGTGCAAAGCACTCACAGCTCTCGACAGTTGATGTGCATGTGTCAGTTAATATTCACAAGCCGGATGCGGTGGCTCACGCCTGTAATCCCAGCTCTTTGGGAGTCCCAGGCAGGTGGATCACTTGAGGCCAGGAGTTCGAGACCAGCTTGGTCAACATGGCGAAACCCCGTCTCTACTAAAAGTACAAAAATTAGCCAGGCGTGACAGCACGCATCTGTAATCCCAGCTACTCGGGAGGCTGAGACATGAGAACCCCTTGAACCGGGGAGGCAGAGGTTGCCGAGCCAAGATCACGCCACTGAACTCCAGCCTGGACGACAGAGTCAGACTCTGCTCAAAAAATAAAAAATTAACTAAAAATTAAATTTTTTTAAAAATTTAAAAAAAATTTTTTTTAGACTTAGAGAAAACCTACAACAACCCTATTAGGTGAAATTGTGATTGTTGTGGATTGACAGATGAAAACAAGGTCAGAGACATTTAAAAAACTTCTCTGCCCAGGCTTATGCAGATGGTGGGCATAAGTCTTATTTGCAGTAGGTGTTTGCATTTGAGGCTAATAATGTGACCTTTGTTTCTTTATCTTGTAGGTGAGCCCCAGTTGAAAACTGTGCAGGGAGTTGTCACAAGTTTCTGTGGTGATTATGGTGTGATTGATGAGTCGATCTACTTCAGTTGTGATGTTGTGACTGGCAATGAGCCTCTAAAAGTTGGACAGAGAGTTAATGCGGTTGTGGAAGAAGATAAAACACTTTATGGATTGAGAGCAATCAAGGTGAGATGTGCATGAGTTTGGGAATGGTGTCTTATCCCAATGGGCTTTCTTTCTCCATCTTTCTTTTCTTGTATTAATCCAGCATCTCTACTGTGACCCGTAGAGTGGATGTAGACTGCAATTTAAGTCCCACTCCTGTGAAGCTGTAGGTTCTTCTGTTCTAATATTTGTAGTGATTTCTGCTTTAAAACATAAAAATTACTTATCTATTCTTCTAGTCTTTAAACAATATGGGTAACAATAACAATCACTGAACTCTATATAATCCTGCAACTTCCTTTATCAGGGACAAAAAGCATTTTCTGAGGCGTGCATTCATAGCGATGGAATTGCTATGTCAAACCATGTGCCTTGTAAACATTTTAAAAAGAGCTTCATGCAGGTATAATTCACAAACCACAAAACTCTCTTAAGGGTACAATTCAATAGCATTTTCCAGATTATGTGACTTATATCTCAATAAGGCTGTAAAAGAATGAAAGACATAAAGCAAAGCAGAAAGATGGTACCAGAGGAAATACTACAAGGGCTTCCATAAACAAACTTTCCTATTAAAAATATCTACGAATTAGATTAGACCTAATTAGAATTAGACCTTCATATTTGCTTCATATATTTAGGTGCTGCTATGTTGGGTGCATATTTATGGAAATCATTATATCCCCTTGATGAATTGACCCCTTCATCATTATATAATGATCTTCTTGGTCTCTTTTTCCAGGTTGTGGTTTAAAGTCTATTTTATTTGAAATCAGTTGAGCTGCTCCTGCTCTCTTTTGGTTTCCCTTTACGTGGAAGAATAACTTTTTTCATGCCTTCACTTTCAGTTTACAATGTCCTTTAGGGAGAAGTGGGTCTGTCACAGTTTTGTTGTTGTTGTTTAATCCATTCAGCTACTCTGCGTATTTTAGTTGGGAATGTTGTCATTTAGGTAATTGTTTTCTACTCAGTTTGCAGGTAATTTCTTCCTTTCTTCCTCTTTTACCGTCTTCCTTGATGGATAAGAGATTTTTCTCTATTAGTATGTTTTGTTTTCTTGATTTTTTAAATGTGTCTATTACAGGGTTTTTTCCTTTGTGTTTAGCGTGAGGCTTACAAAAACATAATCACGACAGTTTATTTTACTGATAACATAACTTTGGTCACAAAATACAAACACTCTACCATTTAACTCCACCCCCGGATTTTGAGTTTTCTATTTTACACTTTACAACTTTTTAATATTTTATATCCCTTAACAAACCATTGTACTTATTTTATTTTTAAACTTTAAAACAGTTCTTTAACTGTTACATGAAAGATATAAGTGATCTGGACACCACCGTCACCTTATTAGAGTATTCTGAATTTGTGTAGTTACTTTTACTAGTGAGTTTTACACCTTCAGATGCTTTTGCATTACTCATTAGCATCCCTTATGTCAGCTAGAAGAACTCTCCTTAGCGTTTCTTGTAAGACAGTTGTGGTGGTGAGGAAGTTTCTCCGTAGAAGTCTTTATCTCTCCTTCACTTCCGGGTACATTATTCTTGGCTAGAGATTTTTTTTTCCCCTCAGCTCTTTGAATATGTCATCCCACTCTCTCCCGGCCTGTTACGCTTGTGCTGAGAAGCCTTCTGGTATATTGGAGGCACATTGGAACTGCCTTGTATGTGATTCGCTCCTTTCCTCTTGCTGCTCTCAGGGTTCTTTCTTTCTCTTTCGTCTTTGACAGTTTGATTACAATCGGTCTTTTGTTTGTTTGTTTGTTTTGTTTTAAGACAGAGTTTCGCTCCTGTTGCCCAGGCTGGAGCGCAATGGCGCGATCTCGGCTCACCGCAGTCTCCACCTCCCGGGTTCAAGCGATTCTCCTGCCTCAGCCCCCCGAGTAGCTGGGATTATTGCCACCACGCCCGGCTAATTTTGTACTTTTAGTAGAGACGGGGTTTCTCCATGTTGGTCAGGCTGGTCTCGAACTCCTGACCTCGGGTGACCCGCTCACCTCGGCCTCCCAAAGTTCTGGGATGACAGGCGTGAGCCACCGCGCCCAGCCCCAGTATGTCCTGGGGTAATCTTATTTGAATTGTATCTGAATGCAGAACTTTGGTCTTCCAGTACCTAGATGTTTGTAACTTTCTCTGGGTTTGGATGGCTCTCCATTATTGTCTTTTAAATAGTCTTTCTACCTCTTTATCAATCTCTCCTCCCTCTTGAATGTGAATGACTCATACTATTGCTCTTTTGATATTGTCCCAGAAATCCAGTAAGTTTCTTTTTTCATTCCATGTCCTTCCTTTTACTTTTGTCTCCTCTGACTGTATATTTTCAATGAACCCGTCTCCAAGTTTACAGATTCTTTATTTTGCTCAATCAGTTGTCCTGTCGATGTTCTCTATCGTGTACTTCCTTCACTGTATTTTTCGACCTCAGAATTTGTTTGTTTGTTTTAAATTCTTTCAATCTTTCTCTCAAATTACCCTGGTCAATTCTGAATCATTTCTCTGTAATTGTTTTCGAGGTTCACAGAGCATGCTGAAAATAGATATTTTGAATTATTTTTTAAACAACTCATACATTCCTATCTCTCTAGGGTCAATTACTGGCGCCTTGTTTTGTCAGTTTGGTGATGTCCTGGTTTCCTGATTGTTCTTGATCTTTGTGGTCATGTGTTTATATCCGCATATTGAAGAAGTAGGTATTTATTTCAGTCTTTGCAGTCTAGCTTTCTGGGGACATCCTTTAATACTAAGCCTATCCAAAAACTCTATATAGGTCTCTTTTGGTCCTTATGCTCGTGAACACTGCAGCTACTGAAGCACTAGGGGGCTTCCTAATCCCAGGGACACAGCGACAGATGCTGCAACGGCGTGCACTCCCTTAGCTATTGAGGCTGGTGCCTTGCGAGACTGGAATCCAAGCCTCTATTCACTGAGGACTCCCTGTTGCTGTAGACTGTTGTGAGCATAAGGCCACTGGAATCACTCGGCAGAGATGTGGGCCAGGTATTGAGTTTGTTTTGCTGTGGCGGTGGCTTCCTGTCTGGTGCCAGGGTGGGTCTAGAGACTTGGTCCATAAGTACCATCTCGGAGTCAGGGGCCATGGACGTCTGTCAAGTGACGGCGTATGGTGTGGCAGGCCTGATACTGGGTTCCCAGGCAATGTCCTATGCCTGCTACTCTCTCTCTTCTCCGGGTGGATGGTATCTCTCTCCATGCTGTGCTGTGGAAGGTTGGGGAAGGGGTGATAGGGGTAATGTAAAACTTTCCCTACTGCCCTCTTCAATGCATCTTGTCTTATTATCATGCTATAGCTGGGTACCGTGGTCTCTCACCTGGTTTCCTTCTCTCAAGTGAAGGTGTTTTCATACAAGGATAGTCTTTCACATTGATGTTTCTGCAGGAGGACGATCTCTGGAGAGTCCCGTTTCTCCATGTTGCTCCCCTCCTCCTCCATCTGTTTAATTTTTACATACTATAAATATGTCCATTTTGTCCATACGGCCTCTGGGCTAGGGAAGTATCCTTAGGCCAATTGTAATACGTAATTTACACAAGTATTCGCTTAGATTTTCTTCTGAAAGTCATTCATTTATCTACATCCAAACATAACAGTCAGCCTGGGTTTGCTTTCTGGGTGTGGGACTCAGAGAAGGCTCCGCGTCTTGTTTCACTACTGGCTACCCAGTTGTCCCTCCACATTAATTGGATAATCCACTTTGCCCCTACTGCATTGAAATGCCACTTCTGTCACACAACGCGTCATCGCACACATTTGAATCTATCTGTGCCTGCTGTTGTGTTGGTGATATTTGCAAGGCATAAGAAACAGAGTTGGGATCCATGAAACTTGGGCAAAGCTTTAGTCTGCAGTATGTCTGTGAGTTGGTGTGAATGGAGTCAAGGAACAGAGAGGTCCGAGGGTGCTGTGGATCATCCACTTGGATACTGACAGAAGTGGTGGTTGATACGTGGACAGGAGGCTGGTGCCTCATTCCTTCATGACAGCAAGTGAGGGGAAAATGGGGAAAATAAACATCAGATTGGTATTGACAGCTGGAAAGACGCCAGTTCAGAAATGAGAATAGCAACAAACTAGGCTGTTTTTAGAACCATGAAAAATTATTTACAACTTAGTGGCTCAAGTTTCCATCAGAAGTCTTTGAACAACAAATTTCAACCCTAGGAGTCTATCCTATAGTTAAGTCAGGCAAGTAGTCCAAATGTTAGGACACAAGCGAAATATCTAATTATGTGGAATTGGGTTAGGAAATTACGGCACATCCATTATTTGGGATTCCCTATGACTCTTTCTGTCCTCCCTTGTTATTTAAAAGCTTTTGCGTTCATTTAATGTGATCCTTTAATACTGAATGCAATGTTAATTTGCTTTTATAACAGGCATATGTGTGTGTGTGTGTGTGTGTGTGTGTGTGTGTGTGTGTGTGTGTGTATATATATATATATATATATGTATATGTGCACAGACAAAAACATCACGATCGATGTTACTCCCAAAATATAGTTCCAAGAGACCACCAGGAATACGGATTGTGGGATAACCGCCTTTTGCTGTCTGCTTATCTGGGTTTTTTTTCTACTTCTAGTGTAATGAACTTGCATTATTTGTAAGTTTTAAGGATTATAAAATGAGGACTATTACACTTTCAATAAGGAAAAAGGTTTTATGCCTCTCTATTGTAGATAAATTGAAACCCTAATTTGACTTGGATTTTTGAACCTTTCCCCGTTGAGGTTATTGTTCCAACTTTATTTCGTGCTTCTGTCTCCTGGGCCTGGATCTTGAAGTTAGGGTTTTGCTCCCTAGGCTCCTAACCTGTGTCGCTTTTCCTGTCTGTCTCCCTGCTCCTCTACCCGTTTACCAGGTTACACCTCTGTCTTCTTTCACAACCCAGCACACATCTGACTTCCCCCAAGCAAATGTCCCTACTTCCTCCCCGTCTGAAATGTTCTCCCTCTAGATAATTCACAAATCCATCTTTGAACTAGTTTTACATCCTTCATTGCAACCTGCTTATGACTAGATATCGGTCTGCTTTACCGTCATTTCACTGTGAATTCCTACAGGCGAAGGATGGTATGTTTCTAATCTTGTGTTCTCATGGTACAAGGGCATTAAACTTGGGTACGCAATCAATGTTTTGGGATACATTTCACAATTCATGAAGCACACACATGATTTTTACCACCATCTCAAGTCTATGGTCCATTTACCACGTGAAATATACTCATCAGTGTTTAAGATGGTTGTCGAAAATATTTTTGGATACCGGTGTTTTAATCATGTAAGTTCCCGTGTTTAAATTTGTATTATTTTTGAAGTAACTCTTACCTAAATCTTACAGGTGGACATTGTGCCTTACGATGCTGGACCCTCAGACGCAGGAACCAAACTTTTAGTTGGATGTGTCACTTCTATAAGTGAGGATACTGTTTATATTAGTGACGACATTAATTTCTCCCTAGACATTATTTCTGAAGGTATGATTTACGTTTTGAGATACATGATGCAATTCTTAATTTTTTGAGAGGATTTTAGTCCTAGAACAACTTTTACAGTGTACTTGGCTTCAGTCAACGGCTCTTCAATATTAGAGGTAGACCCTTCCAATTGAAATTATGTACAATACAGGGCAAATAGGCAGGATTATAAACTATCGGCTGCCGTCTATTGCGTGTTCATCTGTTCAATGCCCTCAGTATGTCTGGATATAATTTTTATTCACATAAGAATTTAATTTCTAATCAAGAACACAATCCTGCAAGTACACAGAGACACTATTTTTAATACCCTTACGAGACTATACTTGCAGGGATCATTTCTGTGGTTGGTTACTAGGGAAGTTTCTGTGACAGGATAGAGTACCAAATTTTAAAAGAATACACTTCAAATGCTTCAAACGTAGAACTGGAGATAGCGCCCTGTGGCTGCTTGCATGTGTGGGTGGGGGCGGTGGGGAGTAGGGTGGAGTTGAACTTTCTCTGTAATCAGCAGATATGTTCTAATATTTAGCTTATACCGAAAGATACCCCCCCTTTTTTTTTTTTCTATTTTTGTCTATTGCAGCTGTCGTACAGCTTGGGCATAAAAAGCTGTCGTACAACCCAGGCAGCTTGCTAGTTTGTTTTCTTGGGTGCAAAAGCAGGACTCTGGCCTGAATGTTGTTTTAAGATGTTGACTCTGTCGAGAAGAGACTATGAGGGGAAGGATGGAGCCAGGAAATCAGTCAGGAAAGCGTTGTAACATTCCTGGTGAAAGATGTTGGACATGTGAATGAAAGTATAGAAGCGGAGGACCTGAGGATTGAGTGGACTCTGGATATATTTTGAAGCTAGAGAAGAACGCAGGAGGTAATGGATTAGCTCTTTGGTGTGGAAGAAAGATGAGTCCAGAGTACCTCCCAAGTTTTTGGTTTGAGCAGTGGTGAGGGTGGAGTTGCCAGTTTGTGATGTAGACGACTGAGGCAAACAAAAGGTGGTGAATACGGAGAATACCAACAACTCAGCTTTATACACGTTAGATTGGTGTAAGTATATGGATAACTGAACGTGGGGTTGGTTAGAGCTGGAGGCATATACATTTTGGAGCTATCAGAACATAGATATATGGTAAACCCACACAAAGGCAATGTATGTAAATTAACAGATAGATAGATAGAGAGAGAGAGAGAGAGGTCTAACACTGTGCTTGTGTCATTCTACAATGCTGAGTCCTAAGGTGAAGGAATGTTTCACTGTGTTGATATTGCTAGTTTTCTGGAGTCACTGTGGCAATTTACTGTGTCACTTGCAGTTGGGATTTCCATTTGCTCCAGATTCTTCCATTTACATTTGTTATCCTGTGACTCACTTTTAACTTACTGTAAACTTCAGTTTGAAACTCCATGGTCTTAACTGTAACATGTAAGGCACATACTTAAGAGTTCATCAGCTGAGCAGAGCACCAGGGGAAATCGATCCATTCTGAAAGTAACAACATTTCTTAGTGGTACTGCTACCACTGCTACAAATCAACAGTTATTTCGTGGTTACTCTGCAGCCAGCGATGATTCTGTGTGTATCACACATAGCAATTAATTCTCACTCACAATTAATTCAACTCTGCATCATGAAGGCTGTTTGTCGTCCTTCTCATTTTATAGTTGAAGAAAACGAGGCACAGAGAGGTTAAGCACCTTGGCCAAGGTTGCAAACTGAGTGAGTGGCAGCGTCAAGATTCGGACACACGTAGCCAGGTTCAAACCTGTGCTCTTACCTACATGTTTGACTGCCTCTCACTAAGGAGATGTGAACGCCAACAGTTGTGCAGTAAATCCCATGCCGCACCCTTAGATTGGCTGTGATGCACGGTTCACACTTTCCTCCACTTGACTTTGTTATATCAGTAGAGGAGAATCAATGCCTAAGGATTATACACTTCTTTTCGGACTTGGAGATTTACAATGTGTCTGTTTAAATATGCACAAAATGGACTTTAGATCTAGCAGAACTGACTTAAAGTGTTACACTATCAAAGTAACGTGTGAAATACAACGTGGCTTAGTTAAGAGATCATGACACTCACATTTCTCCATGGCTGTTTCAGATTTTGTGCCTTATGAGGGCGACTGGTTAGACGTGGAATATTCCAGTGAGCCAGGCATCTCAAACATCAAGGCAATCTCTGCGAAGCCCACCCGCTGGGCTTGCGCGGAAGAGGTAATTTCTTTCCTGTTGCTCCCGTCATCAGTTTCTGCTAACCCTTCCTTTGGTGATAATTTTCGTGCCCAGGATTCTGTTGGGTGTAATGGGAATTCCAGAAAATAGGAAGAAATACATCCTTTGCCAACAAAGGAGCCACTTTTTTTAATTGAAAAGGCAGGACTTCCCAAAGGAAATAATTAGAAAATTATGTAGAGCAAGCACATGATTAAGTCCTAAATTGTGCATTTTACTTGACACCCAAATCTTATCAGAATCTTCCAACAACTGGTGGAAGAAAAAGAATCTTTGTGCCAGAAAACTGTAGGGAAAGAATGAACGGAGCGTGTTGTGGGACTTGAGCTTACCAGCGAATGCTGAGAATGATTTGGGGATTGGAGCCTGAATATGAGCAGGACATTCAGGGCAATAGAGGGCAATGGACATATTTTGGTCATATTTAGAGCAGGACTTCTCGTTAGAGACCCAGGCCTCATCCCGGGAGAGCCTGATTTCATTAGTCTGAGGTGGAGCGTGGGCATGGGTATTCCTACAAAACACCCCTTTTGTTAGCAGTGGGCCAACAAGGTTGGGGATCATCGATTTGCATCGAAGTGACCTTCACTCATGCAGGACCCACAGTGAGGAGGTGCACAGCTGGTTACAGTGATTATCGGGCTTTTTCATAATCATTTCTGTTATGTATACTCGCAGGTCTGCATTACTAGCGTCCGTGGAAGAAACGGAGTGATAGATAATAATATCTTTTTCACCTTGGATTCTGTGAAACTTCCTCATGGATACCAGCCTCAACTATTTGATACCGTCAGCGTGGTCATGGTGGAGAGCACTCACTTCTGCTATGTCTGGAGAGCGGTTTCCATCATCCCAGCGCAAAAATCGTAATGACAAGCATTTTTATTCTCTGTTTATGTTTCCTCCTATGAGCAGTAAAGGTGCTGGTTTAACTGAAAAGTTTAGCTTAGTAAGCCTAAACAGGATTTTACGTATGACTTTTCTGGCAAATCTAATGGAGATACTGGCTAGTTCAATGGGACCACGAACCCAGCTTAGGGAAGTGCCTTATCAATTAAGAAGCATGCTAAATTAGCTTGCTAGTCACTGGAGGAAAGGAGTTCTTAATTAACATGAACGCTGTCTCTAAATTTGAATTCCGTGTTTTCTAGTACCAGCCCCGGATCCCAGGATGACGGAGGCCTGGGATGGCCTGAAACGAAGTGTCACAGTCAAAGCATTTAACTGAAAAGGCAGCAGGGACAGCACGTTAAAGGCATGATTTGAAGTTACAATTTGACTTCACTTTTGAGTCACCCCTATGCTGTCCGTTTAATCTGTATTGTGCCGTAGCCTCTTTCATCTTCTGTCACCTACATAATTTGCGACATTAATTGTTCCCTATGTTCCTTCTTCCCCTTGCTAGAATGTAAACTCCACAATGGCAGGATGCCTTTTGGTCTGCTTTTTTTTGTTTTGTTTTTGTTGTCTTTATTTATTTATTTATTTATTTGTTTGTTTGTTTGTTTATAGCATCACAAAGCACTTAGAAGAGTGCTTGGCAGGCTCAAGGTGCAGATAAAGTGTTATTAAGTTCAGTGACTGAATGATTGGACCAACAACGATGTTTAGCTGTGGTTCATTCATCACTGGTTCTTTAGGAATAAAACTGTTGAGCAACGCATTAAGTCCTCTGTTGAGTTTTTTTAACAACACCAATAACCATAAAAAGCCGACTCTGCTGTACATGAGCCTCCGTGAGCCTCTTTGTTGCAGGGGTGCAGCTCATGTGCAGACATGAAGAAAGACACAAACACAGAGCCCCTTGAAGCGCAGAGAAGCTGCTTACCCACTGGGAAGGGTTATATAAAATCCCACAAGTACACCCCATGAAACTTCTTGCTTTCGTCTAGCAGAACATTTAGCCAGGTAGCTGTGACCTACGGAGACATTCAGATCTTTGGGCGTAGCTTGAATGTGGTTGTGAACTTGCACCGAGTCCTGTGATTCATAATTCCACCATTACCCCCAGTCCTTGAATAAACAGAGTTGTGTTTTCGCTTTCCATTACAGATCCAGTGAGACCTCCCAATCATCCAGGGGTTTGTTTCCTGCTTGATAAGAAGAGTGAAGATCTTGTAGAGTTCCCATTTTCACTCGTTGGTTCACTCCACGAAATCCTACTGATTCTCTTTTATGTGCCAGGCACTGTTGAGGCTCCAGAGTTATAGCCTTAACCCAAAGGACAAAATTCCAGGCCCTAATGGAACTTGTGTTCTTTTAATGCCCCCACACCCCCCACCGTCCTCAGCTTCCTGACCCATGCAGCAGAGCTCCTGTGATAGAAAGGGGCAAGCGGGGGCTGTGGCAGCACCAGGTCCCTGTGAATGTCGTCATTTAAAAGCAGCTCCAGACCCCGTGGAATTACAGAGCAGTCCACGTTGGACTTGAGAGATGCATGGGCCATGACTTCCACTACCTCGCCATTTAATTCTCCAGTTTGGTTGATGTGGAAGAATGTTCTTTGGCAGTTATAATGCATTATGATAAGCCCGGTCAGGTGGTGATTCAGTCACAGCTGCTGTTTCACAAACTTCCTCACTGGATTGAGGACCACCTGGGAGGCAGCAGTTCAGCAGGGTAGGGGGAGGGGATTAGATAAATTTCCTTTATCTTCTTTCAAATAGCAAAGCCCAGAACCACTTTGCTTTCATAAAGCAGACCAAGTGGCAGTACACTTTGAATATTTTGCCTCAAGGATTTGTTAACTCCAAGGCTCTTTCCCACAATTCAGAATGGACAGTCCTCGATCACCTCACCCTCGTCGCACGTGTGTCTCTTAAATGGGTGACCTCACGGCACAAGGACAGAAGGACTCAGGGAGCCGGAAATAGTGCTCTCGGTCGGAAATGTGCTTTTTCCCCATGGGAAAGAATTAGCTGGAAAATGCAGGGACCTGTCACCACGAGTTTCTGGGGCTCCAGTGTTCTGCCATGGAGCTTCCAGCTGGCACGCTGTGAAAGCGTTGCAGATGTGCTGATATCAGATGCCTCTCAGCTCTCTTAGGGACACATGCTATGAAGAAAATGAAATAAGATCATGATTTTTACCTGGGTTTGGCAAACTATGGCCCTCGTGCCAGTTCTGGCCTGACGCCTGCAATGGTTCTCCAATCGTAAAGTTCTATGTAGGCACCCGGAGCCTAATGAGGGCCCGATATATTGATCCTAGTGTTCTTGCCACCATGATTACACCTACTGTTAATAAAAGAGGCACCTTGAGGTCTCTCATTGTGACTGTGGTTTCATCCTCTAACCATTCATAGCTTTCATGGGTTCTGGTCGTCATTTCACTCCTCTTGTGGGATGCATAAAGCTTTAAGCATACATCTGCCAGTGGGATATGCTCTGTGAATGTAACCAACTCCTCTTCCTCATGCTTAGTGTGTGGTTCTCTGTTTTGTCAAAATTCCAAATTCTACCTAATCAGCCATATGTACAAGGATCTCTGTTCCCTTGGTGTCGGAGAAGAATACAGTGTTTCGAATTGAAGCTCTTGTATCTATTGGCAAACTTGTGGTTGCACGTGTACCTGCAGTACCAGCCCAGGAATATGGAGTTTAGTCTATGCTTTCCTCTCTTTCCACCTTTCCACCTTTCCACGTGTGTTTCTCTTTCTCAGCTTTGGAGAACCCTACCTTCCATTATCCTCTGTGTATTTACTTATTTGCACAATCCTGCTGTATGTGCTCTGCTACTGTGGGCAGCTTTCCATCTGTACTCTAACTCCCTCTTCTCACGGACCCTGGCTTGCAGGACGCCTCCTTGGAACCATTTGTTTGGCAGGCTCCCTGCCTGCCTTCCTAAGCTTGGGTGCCCTGCTCTCCAGGGAAGGGAGGGCTAGAGAAAAAGGTTCTCTGTTGCCTTTGGAACTCCTCACAGAACTGACTTTTATCCGCTGCTTCATCATAATAGTCACCCAAGACAGCCTGGGTCGAGTGCTTCGTAAGTTTCTTTCCAGAGCTGCTGGCCTGGCCAGAAGAGTGAAGTGTTGGGCTTGGTTAAGGGCTGTTAGTCTAAACTTCCACAACTGAGGGCTCCAATCAGTTAGCACTCATGTTGGTTTCATAAGGGGGAGGAAGAGAGTTCACCCTGCTGGGGCAACCTCATTCTACATCGGTTTTGCTTCCCGAGAGCATTGTCCCAGTTAACCCTAAATGATGTGGATTAGAAACTTCATTGCCCAGATCCTCTGGATAGTTGAAGGACTACTGTATAAACAAAGGGTGAAAAGCATAATCTTATCATTGAAGTGTTATTGAAAGGAAACTAAAGGTGGCCGGGTGCCGTGGCTCACGCCTGTAATCCCAGCACTTTGGAAGGCCAAGGCAGGCAGATCACCTGAGGTCAAGAGTTGGAGACCAGCCCGGCCAACATGGTGAAACCTCGTCTCTACTAAAAATAGGAAAAAACAAATTAGCCGGACCTGGTGGCATGCGCCTGTAGTCCCAGCTACTCGGGGAGGCTGAGGCAGGAGACTTGTTTGAACCCAGGAGGCGGAGGTTGCAGTGAGCCAAGATCACGCCACTGCAATCCAGCCTAGGTGACAGAGGGAGGCTCCATCTCAACAACAACAACAACAAAAAAGGAAACAAAAGGCGCAAGTTATTTGGACAGCATAAAGAACATGCCTCACAGCGGTTAGGGGGACTGGACATGTGTTCCCTTAAATTCCTTTGTTGAAGCCGTAATCCCCAATGTGATCATATATGGAGGTGGGGCCTTTGAGAGGCTATTAGGCTTAGATGGGGTCATGAGAGTGGAGCCCCATAATGGGATCAGTATCCTTAGAAGAAGAAGAAGAAAAAGAAGGAGGAGGAGGAGGAGGAGGAGGAGGAGGAGAGGAAGAGGAAGAGGAAGAGGGAGAAGGAGAAGGAGAAGAAGAAGAGGGAGAAGAAG